GTTTTAATGTTATAGCTGATCAGTGTAAAACTAACTATACATGCCACTATGTAAGAATTTAAAAATGCACAAATATTAGTGGTACAAATATGTATTTATTTTAGGAAACAATGTTTACAGGCATGTGAAAGTATGTGTTATTGCTTGTGAAATTCTGAGAGATCTGAGACCCATTGGAAACTTGAAAATATGAATAAGATTTGTATTTGTACACACTATCAACAACACCAAATATTTCTGTTTGTGCATGACTTCCACAGGGGCTGAATGAGGGTTATTGGACAGACAAACAAAACCAAACTGTGTAAGGAGGGAGGGTTACTTCAATGTTATCTTATCCTCCCCCACCTTGGACAAGGGCCTAGCAGCTCTAAAATTAGCCGTCACATCTAAACACAGTCTTTGGTGTAGCTGCTACTCTTTGATGGGAACTTGGCTCATGGCTGATGTACTGAAAGCACACTCAAGTCCATCTCCAAATGTAGAGATGAATCCAAGACAGTATAAAAATGCAAACCAGAGACACTCAGTCGTTGACTGTATCCATTTTTACATTTAAGCTAAGAAAATCTAATCAAGTGATTCAACCATCTCAGTGATTTGTATGCTCTTTCCATATTATGATACTGAATATAGAAAAGTACTATGATACATACAACAAATTCACCCAAATCATATTCTGTTAGAAATTACAAGCAACCAAAAAATGTGTTATGACAAGATTCTTGCAATGATAAATGTCCCATACATTACATGCATACAATTAGAATTACAAGAAAAGAATGTGGCAGATATAACTCAACAAGGAGAGTGTGACATGCCAGGGTACTTGATAAAATACAGGGTTCCAGCTGATGATGGAATAAGTAGTTAGCAGAATACAAGGCAATTCATAGACCACCAACATTATGAAGCAGCAGTAAGCCTACATCAGCCTAACCATCAGGTACAGATCTTGTTTGTGCGTGCATGTATTAACATGTACTTAAGCTTGTGGAAAACAGGGTCTGGGAAGCAACCATTACCTCCCAGCAAGAGCAGAAAAAAAAAACTTGGCCAAACAAAACCAACATCCTGTGCTGTGCAGAGATACTATTATTTTGGTCTTTTTTTGTGGTGAGATAGTAGGAGTGGTTTAAGTGTAAATTAAATCAGTATCAAAATTTGTTGTTTTTATTGACACTGCCAAAAGGTTTTGATAGAATTTATAGTTTTATGAGCTTTATGCACGTAGGCCTTCGTTAACAACCATATAAATAACTGAAAAACTAAAACAAGCAGGACATCAATGTCCTGTCTGATTATCAGTGTGCAACTACAGTATGTTCTGAAAGACAGACTGACAAAAGATTCACACCTTGAATATGTTTCAACTGTGATAAGAGTCAAACCATTAAAGCGTTACAAATTCAGACCTAAATCAGAACAAAATTAATGTGACGTACACATTACAGTTGACTTTGGTCAATAGGAACATCGCTCTTGTTCCTAACAAACAGCCAAATGTCTTCTGGTGTTCTGTTACTTTCATTCTACATAATTTCACTACTGAAGTAATTTGTCATCTATCCCAACTCCACAGACGGAAAAATGCAACAATAAAGAGCAAGCCTCGAACTCAATGCTGCAAGATGTTGTACATAAACCTGGCGCCATGCAATGCTTTTTTATCCTTTTCACTCTCACGCCTACGACTTACTTCTACTCACTCAGTGCTAACTAGTCTGAACCTCTATTACACAGAGGACACTGGCCTCTCACTCCCACCCTACCAACAGTGGCATACTGCCAGGTGGGGAAAAGTGTGTGTGTGTGTGTGTGTGTGTGTGTGTACGAGTGTGGTCAAACTGCTCAAGACGATGGCACGTGGAATTAGGGAAAACTCAAACTATCTCACAGGCTGTCAGACTCAAGAGATTTGACACAGGACGCACTCTAACCTTCTGTGTAATCACTGGGCATACTGATGTGGAACCCTTGGGCAGGCAGTCGTACAGTTTTACAGTACCGCATTCCCTTGCATCCCATCTCCCTGAAACTGTACGACCTATAGCAGACCTCAAATTCCTCTGCCTAAGATGTGAGCTCCGTGCCATTCAGCTTGCTATTAGCGTATTTCTCCACACTCCATGCCACAGTGCCTCGCCTGTTCCCTGCAAACAGACTCCCTTCTATACGGCATCAGTATGCAGTCTGCCTCAGGGGGAGGAGGAGGAGCAGCATAGGGGAGGAAAAAGGGAAGGTTGGGAAAACAAAGCCTCTATGGTCGTCTATCCAGCCGGGCCAGGCCGAGCCGCAGTAGCGGGGGCGAGTTATGTAATGTGACTGGCAGGGCCCACTTCCCTGTTCAGAGCTGCCGCTCACACTAATCCCCACTGAGGAACAAGCCCGGCTTTGGAGAAAGAGGAGGAGATAGAAAGGGAGCTGTGAGGGAACCAGTGGAGGTGGTGTGATTACAAGAAATTCAGCCTTTCATCTGCACCAAATCGAACACACAGTAACCTCCCCTCTCAGCTCCTCTGCTAAAAGATAACAGTCAGAATGATGTCAGCACTACTGATGGTGGGCTACAGCATAAAGAGGAGACACCACTTTCCCAGAAACAGCCTGCCTGTGACATGCAATAATGACACACATTCAAAAACTTTGGCTCCTCACATATACCAGACTATTTGTGACAGGGAAATTTAATGTGCATATAGTTAACAAAAGACTTGGGTCCATAGCTGGAGTTCCACACACATACTCTATCTCCTATGTACATTTATGTCAGTTATTTATACAATTCCATGAGCTACATGGCTGTCATGTTTGCAGTGTTGATATTATTCAATAAAAGCAGCCAGTGCAAAGGCTCCTGTGAAGTGTGCTAGGTCACGGTATAAACGTTGAAATCATTATGCAACACATTCTGATACACAGTCTTGTTCAAGCATCTCTGCAAAAGACCACGGAGGATACAAGTGAGACAGTGCTCAACACAGATATTTTCTGCATTTGTACACTGTCGTGGCTCTAAATTCACAGTTTCATACCAAAGCAGACTACTGTCTGGTAGATCACTGTCTACTCAGTTACAGAGCTATGTCAACAGACATGACAGAAGCTTCATGTGGATGAGAGGAAGTGGTACCGAGACGGTCACAAAGTTTAAGAGAAACACACCAGGAGCCGAAAAGAACAAGTAATTATCAGGAACCTCAGTCAGTTCTGCTAACCATGGCGAGCAGGTGGAGGATTTAAAGCAGTTAAAAATAAAAGTCTGATTCTGATTTACTGAGCTGCTTGCCTGGAAACCATGTGACTGGCATCACATGAGGAGAGGGAGGAGGAGAGTGGCAAAGAGTGTGTGTGTGTGTGTGTGTGTGTGTGTGTGTGTGTGTGTGTGTGTGTGTGTGTGTGTGTGTGTGTCCAGCTCCCACAGGCACACACACACGCACACAGCATGTATTCCACTCCTGGCACCATAAAAAGCTTTGTGATCAGTTTCCTTGGTTTCCACTGACAGTAAGCAGATATAGGCAGCTCGGAGAGGTAAACAGAAGCAGCTCTTTCTGGTGCATAGCCACAGGCACACAGACATAAGAGAGGTGGATGGGGGAGAGAAAAAGCGCCAGAGGCGGAGGGAGAGAGATAAACTTTTGCATAAAAGAGGCATAAGCCAATCTTTCGGCTGTTGGTGTCAGGGACACAAGCAGTCCACACACTGATCAGTCTGCAGCTGATTTCTTTAATAACCAGTATATTTTGTGATTCCTCGATGGTGCACTAGATTATTTCCCCGACCACGTTTCTCCTTTCTAAATGTGTGTTGGCATATTTTTGACTACACCCTGTCTGTGACCAAATCGGTCACAATTCTCAAAATCCCTCCTTAAATTTGGAGTATATGCTCTTTTTTATTCCTTTATTCCTTTTACTCACATGCAGTGAATGCAATTGAGGATTCATTTAATTTCTATCTTATTCATAAATTTGATTTTAACATTGCCAAGTTCATTTCAATTCCTGCAACCAAACAGTTTGTGTGTTGACAGAAATGCAAACAATTATGCCCTTCATCAAGCTTGTATACAGTGGCAGTTGTTTGATCTGTGTGGAACTAAACTTGTGTGCCAGTAAACAATGATTTTTGAGGCATTTGGATGTAAAATTAAACTGGTTGCGCATTCATAAGCTACAAAAGCTACAATTCTACATGATCCGGACTTTCAGCTACAGTCACACTAATCAGCAGGAAAATGCATTTGTGCCTACACAAAGCATTAGTGAGTGAGACAGACAAGGTGATGGAAGGCCTTAGGACACATGCTAGTTCTGCACTACAAAAACTGCTAGTTTTTAGAGGCTTTTAACACACATAAGCATGCACACATACATGTGCACACATACATGCGCACACACGCAGAGTCTCTGACAAAGGGACAGGAAAGCAGAGGTTAGGCATGTACTAAGCCCCATTCTTAATACATGCATTCCACTGGATAGAGCTCAGTGCCGCTGTGCTTTTAGCCTGCCTGTTGGTACAAGCATCTCCTACACACAATCTCCTGCATGCCTAACAATAAAGAGTAGAGTCTGATACTGGTACTGAGAGCTCATATATATGTACACAAGTACACTTACAAACAGCTTACTAATACTTTACACTTGAGCAAAAGAAAATATATTACTCTGGTTGTTTGGTTAAATATAAGATACATCACATAGCTAATGTTGCATTACCATCTTATGTACTAACCTAAAGAAAACATTGCAGACACAACCTCAAATGCAAATCGATGCTTCATTCCTGTGGTATCCTTTACTCAAGTTACTATGTACGTAATAAATGCCCACACACACCAGAATGTATCGCAATCCATATATTATGAAAAAAGGAAAAAAGAAACTAACTGCCAAAAAAATGTGTGTTGAAAAAACAAGTGCTCAAGAGGCCTTGAAAGGCCAGAGAATCAGCTTGATGTTATATTTTCAAAAAGATGTTATCGTCAACATACCGATTCCATGGCTGTGGGAGAATGTCAGTGGGCTACAATCCAACTAGAAAAACACCTGCTGCTGCAGAGTCCACAGAATCCTGAAAAACAAGATGAAAACAAAACCAAGCATTAGTTACTAGGACAGCACAAGCAGTTTCACATTCCTTGCGATGGATGGGTATTGGAGTGAATGCAGAGGGTCATGTTTCTCCTCTCAGGATCGGTTCTCCTGCAGTTCTCTGGCAAACTAAGAAATGCCTATGAAAGAACTGGCAACAGATACAATGACATGAAGTGAGGCATTTGGACCCCTGGTCATTCCTTCAACCCAACAATGGCATTCCAAACTTTGTTTTAATCCAAAAAAAATAATTTAAAAAATCCACTCTGTACTTAGTCCCTGTGTTGTTATTTACCACAAAGCTAAACTTTGCCTCATTCTGCACCATATGTAGTGAGCTCACACTTATTCTGCCCATTCAAAATGAAATAAGTATAAACAGGTTATCGGTTTATCAATATTCATAGAGTGATTTTTTTCCCCAATGGTTGCACTGGTGTGACTTCAGACTAAACAGCCATGTAGAGAAAAGAAAAATATCAGCTGTGTTCTAACAGCACTTTACAAATGCAGCCATAAGCAAACAGGCAACTTTGGGTAGACCACCTTTGCAATGTTGTTGAAGCAAAATTTCCATATACAACACAACACAGCATCCATATATAACATTTTCATATAACAATAGCAGCTACTATTAGACAGCAACTGGTAATAGTTGGTAATGTGAGCAGTGATGAAACATACTATCCAGTTTAACTTTGCTCCACGTGGTGTATGTGGTGCTGACATAGCAACACAGAGTTCACAACAGAAAAACAAAAAACTTTAGAACTGCATTAGGACAGCACATGAAACATGCTATGCAGGGACTGTTACATTGTATGAAAACCAGTTCCTCTTCCCACATTCCCATGAGATTTTGGCATAAAAAACAATGCAAGCCTGATGAGTGAGAAAACCAAGTTGTGCACCAAATTCAACACAGCATATCACATTATTAAATACAAAATGCATTTTACGAAATTTAAATCAGAAATTCATCTCCAGAAGAAAGACCCCAGATAAAGCATGATTATGCATTTTTAATTGTTCCCAGAGATATGTTTCCTGCCTGTTCACCATCAATCTATAATGAGAGCTGGGCCCGATGCTCAATCATTAGGAAATGCTCTTATATAAATCTTATTCTTACCAATCTTAATTCCATCATACTCACATCCAATAGCAAGGAATCGTATACACTTCTAATACATTTATTCTTTTACGCTGCGCTATATAACAGAAGTGGAGCCAATAGATATAGCACTATCTGAGAGACATGGTGGCAGTACAATTCAACACAGTCTTCTTTTTCCGACAAAGCACAGAAGCACACGACAAATAGTAATAATGCATTCTGTGTATACAAAATAGATGCCACAGCTGGTTACGTACCAAAAACTGCATAGGAATATCTGTTTGAAATATTGCTTGGAAAACATTTCTAAGATTTGCAGTGGAGAATGAATGGAGAATTCCACTTGTAATGTTTGTTGCACTTCTCACTACAGTAGTTAGCAAGTCTTCCTACTTTTAGGTCTGTTGAAGTCTTTTAAATTCACGTAAAGGAGGAGGATAATCAAATATCTGGAATAGTTTGCTATTTAAGACAACAATTCACACTGTTTTTGTAACTAAGCATGTGAATCAGAAAATAAAGTTTAAACAGTGAATGAAACCACATGATGACATTTCTGGGACACAACAACAAGGCCAGAATGGCAAGTAACATATGTAGTAAGAGGTTTATGGGTGTGAGTTGCCTACACCTTTAAAGTAATCTGCTGTTCTATACCAGAACAGGAAATCTATGCTGTATGTTCAAATCTGTTTTTACATTTTCAAGTTAGTACAAGGCTCTAGCTACATACATGTGAACTTTGAACTTTTTGAATTTATTATTTTATACATGAATGAAATTATGCTGGATCAACCTCACAACAACAGAATATTATTATTTGCGATAATGTGAATCTTACATTATACCTTTACGTCATAATGTTTAATGTAATGCAAAAGCATAACCCTTGAAATCCTGACGTCAGTGAATTGATGATGGCCCTTCCCCCAGTCTACTCCCAACCACACAATGAGGACAAGGGTTTAGCAGGATTTTGACAGCAGGACATGGGAGGGTATTTAACAGAGGCCCAGTGTTGGGGTGGCATTCTCGTGATTATGGGACACACCCACTCCACTACAACCTGAACCCACATTTGTTTCATCAATCTAGTTTTACGGCACCATAAAAGGGACTGAAGAGCAGTCAGTAGCATCTAGTTGTCAGCTTTAGCACTGTCAGTGTGGCAGGTGGGAACACGAGCCAAGATTAAGGCCAGACCTCCATAGGACGGCCTCAGTGGTAAGGAGGATGATGGTTAGATGCACATTTGTATTTGTACTAGAGTGGAGCCTGTGGGGCTTTCCTAGCGGGAAGGACAGGATTGGAGGGTTGCAATAATCCAGCCAGGAAGCAAAACACTAAACTCCCAGCAGAGTTTTGGATGCAGCACAGACAATCACTGTTGATGACCGCCTAAAAAACAGTGACATGCACAGCTGCACCAACGAGCATAACCCTTAAAGCATAGAAGATAAAGGGTTAGTCTTTAAATTAGGGCTAAAAGTTAAACAAGGAGGCATAAGCAGTAACTTACACCATCCTTACCAAATTTTAAGTTACATATTATGGTGTACCATTTCTAACATAAAGACAACTTAGCGGGCAAGATATTGCCACTGAAAGACCAAAAACAGCCTTCAGGTATTACTGTACATTGAAAATTTCAACATTTAGCAATGGTCAGGCAATGTAGCAGAGCCACTTTGATAAAGGAAACACCCACTGCCAATTTCATCAAAAATCTCAAGGATGTACCCAACCTCTTAAGTCCAGCAATTTGTTTAATACTTTTAATTATAGTTTGATATTTTTTTTGTTTAGGACAGTAAAGGACTGTGTCCTTCCCCTGTGTTTTACTCAAAGAAAAGGTTTCAACAAAACCTTCAGAGACACAAACAAGACTCTGTAGAAAAAAAATCCTCTTCAAGCAAGCATGAGGACAACATACAGGACACATTCCTCTGCCCATAAAAAGAGAGATGAGACTGAAAACAGCTGATAACCAAGGTATAGAAATACATGTTAGAAGCCAGCTGCACCAGTTCTTTGCAAGGCCAAACTTAGTCAGTTAAAATATCGTGCTTCTTAAGTTGCCAAAGTCAGAACTGGGGGTTGGGGGCTATGTTTGACCATCTTTGTATCTTTAAAAACAGACAATCCTACAGTTACACCCATCTGCATAATGGGTAACTTACACAGATATGAAAAAGCAGCCAGAGATTGAACTTCTCCCTCATTTTTTCCCTGTTCATGTCACTTTTCACTGTACAACAAAGTGCAATATTATAAATTCATTTCAGGAGAGACACTAAGAAAGTATGTACCCTTATCCCCATCTTTACAACATATTCCACCTCTGTCCTTCCTCTCAACTCTGGCTTTAAGTGTGACCAACAGCTATACATACACAACTGCACCGTCGGAGAGCATGCTATACGAACAAGTTTTTTTTTTTTTTCAGCATAACCAAACTCTTATGTTCTCCCAAGAATGTGGTCCTTGTATTTATTCAAAGGGTAAAGATTTTATTGTCTAGTTTACACAAAATGCTTTTGCATGCACATAAATGTAAAAAAAAATAAAAATACTATGCCATTGTTTGCCTCTGGACATACATTTTTCATTTGCTTCAGTCTTGATAGTAGGGTGTCTCAAACAGAACTGTGTTAAGGCGCCAAAAAAACAAAAAAACAAAAAAAAACATCCGACTGACCCAATATATTTACAGGGCATGAGTGGTTGTGTACTGGGTGACACTGACAGGCTCCTTAGTAAATGTTTCCTGGCTAATTAGTGGCGAAAGCATAAGAATGAGAATGTATATGTGCAGCACACACACACACACTGTAACTGCTGACTGGCCAAATGTAGGCAAAACATTAATAATATCCATCACTACATGGGCAAAAATTATAGATACAATTGCATGCACACTGGGACAGATTTTTACCATAATCTATTCATACTATGTACGATTTGTACCAAGACTAATGCAGTGAAGCTGACAAAAAGGTCAGAGGTAAAAGATCAAAGAGCACTTGAAGATGGGCTCCATTTAATCTAGACTTATGTCAAAAGCACTGGCTGCTAACTATGTGAAGCTGAGACCAAACATTCAGCATTATCATCCATAATTACAACAAATTTCAAGTTCTGCATCACCATAACAACATGTTTGCATATTTAATTCTTCTGCGCTTTCACTGTCCCTGTTATCTAACAGCTGAAATATCAGCAGTGTGTTTCGGAGTGTTTAACTAAGTTCATCACAGCATTGCAGGTATTACCATACCACAAAGGAAAAGAACAGTTTGAGAGCCATGGAGCAGTGAGCTCTAACATATGTGTAGTCAAGGCGGCTGCCCTACAAGCTCCTCTAAACACTGCTGTAAGTGAGAGAGCTGATGAGACCAACGCTGGTTTAACAGTGACCTTCAACAAGAATCAGAGGCTGTCTTTGATACTGACAGACTATGACTGCAGATAAAGATAAATCTCTTCACTGGAGCTCAGAGAATGGCTTCACACGAGAGTGACTAAAACATTTGGTTGCAGCAAAGCAGGGCCTATTGCTAGTCGGCTTTCCTTACCTAAACATGGCAGCAGCTGTATCAACACAGCAAATGTCCTACTATTTTAACTTACAATGACTAGACCCCCTGTGTACTACAATGTCTAACAGGAAAGGTTATGGTAACAGACTTATGAGTTGTGGTGAAACCTAGGACAGTATTGGGAAAATTCGATATCAAGGGAATGTGGAATTGGCGTAAAAGGCAGTCCAAAGTCTGCAAACAGCAAACATGATGTCCTGGTGGAGAAAACAATAGAATTGAAAGACTGCTGATATCATGTGAGCAAACAGTGGTGACATG